TATGTGTTAAAAAGAAGGGGCCAAAAAAAGAGGAAAAATAGAAAAAAGAAAAAGCTTTCTTTGTCTAACCAAAATCGGAAGCAAATTTGATGATAGGCCTATTTTCGTTGTTGTTGTTGTTGGCCGGCCATGTGATGTCGCTGGAGATGATTCACTACCGCCGAGTGACTTTTATGTAACATATGCATGTATGGATTACGGACTTGAGCAGACCAGACCGCTCAATTCTTCTCTTAACGGTCGTTCACTTCCTTAATTTGGCAAATTTTGTTTTCAATTAGTGGACTTTGAATAATGTGGGTCTGTATCCTCAGGGAGGGATTAGGACTAGGTGCATAACAGCACGTTTTAAATTTCAAAAGCTCCTAATGATCTTGACCTCTCAATATCGTAATTAATGTGTTTCAAAGTTTCACTAACTCAAAAACTTTTTTATGGAATACGCCTAATTAATTACGATGACTTCTTTCACACGGAGGGGGAGGGGCCCTTCTCCCCTAGACTTTTCAAAAATTCCTCATAGACTATTATTATTAGTTCTTAAATTGTTGTTTATAAGTTTCAAATATTACTTGAAGGAAATGCTAATTTGTCTTTATGTAAATTCCTAAAATAAACAAACTCTCAGTTCAAATGCCTAATGAGCCAAACCATTTTATTAATTAACATTAGGAAAAAACATTATACAAATATAAAACAAATGACAAATTAAATGAAATTCAACCAGCTACAATTCTTATTTGTACACGATTGACTTAATCAGAAAAGAACTGTAGTCTAATTTTTATGTTCTGCACATGACTTTTATTAATAAAAAATATTTATTTGTTAGTTACTATTTATTGACTTTTTTTTTTTTTTTTTTTACTCTACTATTTGCATGGTTGCATTTGACAAGATCTACGAGGAACATGGCTTGAAGGAAGGGCATTTTTATATGCTTATCGTTGTCAACAATTAATGCGTTGAAGCAAGTATTTGTTGGTTTAGCCAGATTGGCAAGTAGCCCAGCTTCTGGTTTGGTCATTGGTGTTGTTTAGTTAAGGCCTTGTTTGGATTGCATTTTCTTGGATTTTTTGTAGAAAAATCACTGTAGCGATTTGATGTATGTGAAGAAAAAAGGCAATTGGGAAATGTGATCACGAAAAAATGACGCAATTTTTCGGCGAAAAATGGCTGTCCAAAGTTTACCGGCAGCTAGTGACTGCTTAATGAAAGAAAGATGCTTTCAGGAAACCCCGCCTCAGAGCGCCATCTTATAAGTTATAACCCCACCTCCATTTCTCATCCTTTCTGCCATATATACGCATATATTATATGTCTATGCAGCTATGTAGGAGTACTTGTTTTCTTCTACAGGAACCCTTTTATGTGATCAGAGTTGAACCCGGCCGTTATCTTGAATTCCGTAGGTAACATATTTTTTGTTTGTTGTTGTTTTTTTTGCTACCCGTCGACAATTAAGGAAGGTACAGCTAGCATATATACTTTGTTATGATGTTTTAATTATATATAAGGTAACGTAGGCATGGGTTGTGGGGTTTGTGATGGATTCGATCTGTCAAATATGTTAGCATACAGAGACAGCAGTAATATTCATACGACAGGAATCATGCATGCAGTCCTTAACAAGGTTTATAAAATGCTCAATTTAGTATAGCGTTCACGTGATGATTATGAACTTGTTCGCACTTTGGTTGTCCAGAAAAGAGTTAGAAACTTAACTTCCTCATGATTCACGTGTTACAAATCAAATTCCCTCCTCTCTCTCTCTCTCTCTCTCTCTCGTATCCCAGCCAGAGGGGGGATGTAATTGAAATAAAAAAAAAAAAAAAGAAAAAGAGAAGGGTACATATATAATTGTTTTCCGATAACCCTCACTGAATTTTCCACCGGAACAGAAGATGCTCTAGCGACAACGCCGACAGCCAAACACTGTAAAATTGTAGATGCCACATACCTACCTAAATATACACACACACATGCATCCGTCTAAATTTTTTAAACAACGCCACATTTAATTGTGACAAATTGGTAGGAGGAACCTTTGTCATCCACCCCACCAAGCCTTAGGCTAAGTTTGGGAGTTTAGGATAGAAAAGAAAAGAAGGGAAAACTTAAGTTATGAGAGAAGAGAAGAGAAGAGAAGGGATTGTTATGTTGTTTGGGAGTTTTGAGAATTAGTGGAATGATTTTGGATATGAAAGTCATTAAATATTTGTTCAAGACATTTTTAAGGATAAAATGGGTATTTTAAAAAAATTTCATAAGCTTCTTCCAACTTTCTCTCCAATTTGGAAGGAAAAATTTTGCATACTATTCATCCTCTTAAATCATTCCATTTCCCTTCTTTTCTTTCCTACTAAAAACTAACAAACGAAAGAAAAGCTAACTTTCTCTTCTTTCCCTTTCTTTTCTGTCCGAATCCTCCACTCCCAAACGAAGCCTTAATGTGTTGATGGTGGCCATTAACCCAAAAATATGAGTAATTTGTGTAGTCGTTTAGGCATTCAAAATTGATACAAGCACCCCCAAAAAATGGTTTTAAAAAACAAAAAAATGGGCTCATACCCAATCAATCAACTCAGTATTGATGGACACAATGGCAAATCAGGCAGTACCTTTTAAGAAAGTTTCTTGTCAACCGGCAGAACAAGAAAGTAAACGGACTAGTACTATCTTCTTCTCTAATTCAATGAGACCTCAATATATGCAACATACTAAATTATATTCTTGAAGTTACATGAACTAGGAAAAATTTACGTGCTGTCTAATTGTCTTGGTACTTAATCTATCGATCATCTGGAATTCAAAAGTTGAATTTGAAAAGGACACACCCCCACCCCAAAGCCCAAAAAAGGAAAAAAAAGAAAAAAGAAAAAGGAAAAAGGTATGGTTGCGAACAGGGAATAGAATGTGTATAAAGATGTAATCCTTTTTTGACGGTCTCGTTAGTGCAGCACAACTGATGGGATCTTCGGGTCCTTGTCGAGAATAACAGATGCTAAAGGGATAACAATTGGCTAAGGGGATAATAAAGGAAAGCTAAAGGAATGAGAGTTTTTTATCCCCCTCATCTTCTGTCACAATATAAGCAGAACCTCAATCCGTCTTTCTCGAGATGCCTGTAAATCTAAAAGCACCCTTACGCTAACGATGGACCGTAGGCCCAATTTTGCATTGGGCTTGCCAGTGTCCATCTTAACCTCTCTGTTTTTAGTCTGACGCTTCGATTTATTCTGTTTCACATCTGACGGGTGATCTGGGCCTTTTTTTTTTTCTCAAAATTTGGGGGAGGGGGGGGGGGGCAGATTTTGATCATGGTAAAATACTAAAAACTTAATAGATCAACAGATTTCCTTTAACAAAAAATGGAAAATGGAACCGACGGTTAATGGAATTTCCAATTTTAGACCAAGATTTTAGGTGAGTTGAAGATCCAATTCCAGATGTAGCGATACATATGTCCAAAGAAAACCAAGAAGCTTGCCAGACTCTTTCTGGCCCTGATGGCCCAACAACATCGGACTTTTTGATTGAGTGTCGCGTTGGGGACAATGGCACCCCTAATTAATTAAAGTCGCAAACGAAAAACACACTTCAAAACTCTCAGAGCCCTTGTTACAAGTTGCGAGTAGTAGACGAGATATTTGCTATTCTTGTATATTTTCTTGATCATAGTAACGAATGGCAATATACCAATCATGTAGTACTTACTTTGCAATGAAGGAATCGAATTGCGACGCAGTACTCTTTCTTGGTTTCTTTCATCCTTTGAAAATGAGAGCCAAGAAAAGTTACAGTCACATATCCCGGCTGAGCAGGCGACCGATATATTCCTTGGAAGGAAGTCATGCGACTCCAGGTAACGAGGGGATCGTCAATAATGCATAATGAAGCTCCGAGATTCTCCGGCCAAGTTGTAACGGGAAAAACCTTACTGTGGATTGTAAGACTCGGCCAGTGCGTAAAGAGAATGAAAATGGAATTTGTGGTTTCTGTGCATCTGATCCGTGCGTAATGTCTCACGCTTATATCCCGGAGCTGGCCAAAGCCAGGAAGCCTTTCTCCGCCGGCATTCGGGACAAAGAGCAGCAGTCCAAAACGCAAAAACATACAATGGCCACAGTTTTGGGAGGATTTGACATTCACCTGATTTAAATCAACGCATACCTAATAATTGCTCCCCCCCTCCATACTCAATTACCTAACTTGGGCACTTTTTGCTGATCCATAGCACATGGCATATATTAAGCATGTTTTTGGAAGAACACAAACGTGGCTATTCTTCCAATCTTCTTGGTTCTTTTTATTCCCAAACTCATCCGTTTGGCACTACAGAAGCCCCACGTCGATCACAGGCACGTAGGGTAAGACTTGGACATTCAGTTGCAGAAAACCTTCATTACACGTATTATCGTATAAGAGAAATACTACTCCTGCAGGTTAGGTTACGCGTATTATCTTGAGAGAAAGACTACTCTTGCAGGTTAGGTATACTATAGTTGTAACATATCCAAGCAATCAGTTTTGTGGCCTAGAACTTCTAACACCTCATCAGCACAATCAGGAACCCACTCATCCTGACCACCAATATATATTTATCATCGTGTTTGACGTGCCAAAATGTCCAAGAACCATGGCAAAATCCAAAGCCACCCAACTCTAGACGTGACTAGCGTCATGGTCTGTGTCACCAAACATAGCCATGGTTAAAGAAGGTATCAGGTAAATGGCATAACAGATTCGCTGTTTGTTTGAAAAAAGGGACGTTAAGGATGACCATACGATACTAATAATTCATTAGTTAGGTCATCTCATAGTATGTTGTGGTAGTTCTGAATGAGATCAATCTTGTGTTGTTTCACATCAAGCATTCATGCAACATTCTTTGCATTTGAAGGATCAATGATCAATCGAAACAACTCAACTACAAGGAGAAAAGACGGGTTCTTTGAGCACAGATAAATTGTAGAATTCGATTCCATAGCAATTAAGAATCAAGGGAATGAACTCACGGGACTTCCGCTTAATCAAATTTCAAGGTACAACAAAAAAAGAAAATCACAGAATAAGGCAATCATATATATATGTTTCTGAACAAAGGACATAGCAAATTTAGCCCATGGCAATGCCTAGTTACCACCCACTTCACCCTTGGTAATAAACCATGAAAGGCAGTTTGACGATCTCATAATTTAGTAAAGACATAAAAGAACTCCTGCTTGTTTCTTGAGCTTCCACACAAAAACACAAACGCAGACACGCAATTCAACTCAACCCCTGGTTAACATAGTAATAACTAATAAAGCAAACAACAAACCATCAACATACTTGTATTTTGGAGATAGAAAAATATTAGGAGAGTTTATCTATGTACGCCCAAGCGAGGACGGGGAAGAACCTTCGCAGACGGCCTCGGTTTCCACTTCCCTTCTGTGGAAGTTCCTGTGACAGCCACAAGCAGCACAAGAGAGTGCAGCATTTGTCCCCTCCTCCCCACTAGCCATGAACTCCCTGCATCCATCCACAGCATAACCTCCAACGCCAGCCGCATGATTCTTCTGGCACTCTCCATATCTTACATTCCTTACCGTAAACGACGAATTCGTCGCGTTTTTTGAAGATTCATCTCTCTTTACCACCACTTGGCGCTTCTTCATGTCTTCTACCAGCTCTTACTACAAGAACCCTTATGGATGTATATGTTCAGACTACTACGGTGAATCAGCCAAGAACCCTCCTGCAGGATTGAAAGGAGATCAATTTAGAAGGAGATGTTCGCTAGCTAGTAGATCACATATACATAAATCTATTCTTACTTCTGGGGAAAACCCTAACCCTAGGGGGCAATGCTTATATACAGCTCATAAACCATTCTCTTTTCAACACCTTGTGGAAGAATTATTTTTTATTGGAAATGAATCACTGTATATTGACTTGGAAAGTTTCTGGTGGAGCTACTATCTGTCCACGTTTACCGTGGAAGGAACAGTTTACTGGTTTAACTACTGATACATCGAATCCCCCGGTTTTTAAAGCCAAAATGTTCAATACTTGCTAATTTTTATCAATAAAACGATTGGGTTTCAATACAATTTTTCAGGCTTCAAATCCATTAAATATTTTGGATTGATCTTATATACACTAAAAGTGCATGCACTAACGAGCATGGACTTATATCGTGCGTACAAGAATTGAAGTTAAAATTCAAACTAAAAATTAAGGGTATTTGAAATTAATCTGAATTCATTTAATTGCTGAATTGTTAGTTACTGAAATCTTAATATTTGGAAGCATTCTGCATTAAGTAATAAGTGAATAATGTATCACTTATTGCTTTCAGTAAATTTTGCATAAACAATTCAGAAGCACTTAAATAATTAAGACGTTTTTATTGTTTTGTTATTAAACACATTTCAGCATATTAATACTCTATTTGAATTCATTAACATGAAGGGTTCAATTAAATTATTAAACACGGCCTCAATAACATGCATCCATATTTGTTAGTGAATATACAAAATTAATTCAAATATATATTTTTTTAATCACAACCACACGTTTAGGACCAAAAACAAGCAAAAGGGGAAACATATAATAAGCTATTCCGCCCTCACTAATTGATGGTGGAGCTCGTTCCAAGTCTACAATCTCCATGTGAAGAAGAAAAATTATATCCAATTACATCCACACTCACCACGAGTCAATTTGGCAATAATAATACTAATAATAATAATAATTTTTTTTAAAAGGCGTTACTATTTTTCCTATTTCATATGGAGGGAGGGAAAATTGTGCCCGGAAAGCGGTCCCCTCGAGGAATTCTTTGCTTTGACATTCAGTTTCAACTTTCAGGAGATGTACGTGACTCGCCTTATCGCTATTGGCTACTGATCAAACTCTAAAAGATTCCCTGTAAAATCATGATCACAACTTTATTAGGATGGGGTTTATTGGGTTCGATCTTTACAATGAAAATTTGTCAGTTACAAAAAAAAAAAAAAGCTTCCAAATGCAGATGCTACGGTTCAGCTAGAGGCACAAGATCTTGGCCTAATGCACTTAGGTTTAAGGACACAATGACCGATTAGCACTCCAATCGAAGCACTAAATCCAACGAATTCGATTCAACCTTTTCTGTCAGAGGCTATTTGTCATTTGCTCCGTCAATAACTCGCACTCTATTATTTTGATAACGATGGAAACAGTTCATACTCTGTTTTGGCGTAACAATTTTTTGGGTTAGCGATCCGTTGGCCTTCTAATTTTACGGAAACACCAAAATCTAACGTGGCCGTCAGTACCGAATGAATCGAAGTGGATGGAGATTTGTTTCTCGGGATGTGGATTATGTCCTTTGCTTTCTCTCTCTCTCGGTCCCAATCAATCAAATGTTTTGGGTAATGATGATGGCAAATATTCGCATGCATCATTGTCTTCAAAGCAATAACTTGAATCTTTTTCAATCAAAATTTTAATCATTCCGTCTGTAGTCTATACATATCTCTATTGGTTTTTTGTTTGTCAAACGGTCGATTTTTTAAAGTATTAATCCTATTTTATTTTGTAGAAATTTGTAAAAAGAATACAGGAATAATAAGAATTTTTTAGGTCAAATACAATAATATGGAGATTTGGAACACTAATTTCCTGAGTGTCATCGATCGATGAGAGCAAAAACACCAAACATTCGACTTGACACAGCTTTGATTTTAAATCTGTTTAATGAGTATCCAGTGACTAATTATTAAGTTGTCATTTAAGGATTCAGGTAAAATTAACTAAAGAAAATAATTATGAATAGATATCCGTATGATAGGTTAGATGTATATAAAATACCTGATAAAAATCCTTTAATTTGATGATAAAATGCAAATTTCACAAAAATTTCCGACAAGTGATAGTTGATGGTTGATACTACACACCAGCGGTCATTTCTCCTATGTGGCTATGTATGTCGTGGCAGAGGAGTGATCCCTGTTCTGCTGATTCGACGTCGGATCGACTTTCCAGGTAAACATGTACCATATTTATTTTAAGCTATGTACATTGACCGACTGATGCAGTTAACAAAGTCCACGTTTATTAGCTTTTTGGCGGCCTTCGATGAACTCATAAACTCAGCGTAAAAGCTGCTTTCGAGTATTAAGTCAATGGTTTTTCTTTTCCCCTCTAATTATTACTCCCTCCGTCCCACTTTGATAGTCCTATTTTCCTTTTTCGTATATCCCAAATTATAGTTCACTTTCCAATTAAAGAATATAGTTGTATTTTAATTTTTCTAAAATGCCCTTATTCAATGTAGTTGTTGTTACTATAAACCTACCCCATTTAATGAGAGTTGATTCTTTTTTTACCATCAATTCAAGTTCCCATAAAGTTGTACTCTATTTAATGTGAAGGTATTTTAGGAAAATAGCAATTTAAATTTACTTTTCCAACAAAGTTAACTACTTTTTCTTAAACTGTGTGAAAAAAGAAACAGGACTATCAAAGTGGGATGGAGGAAGTAATTACCGGGGTGAACTTTTCTCTCTCACTTTCTAGCCCCTTGTAGTTAGTTGCCCTACTGCGCATTCCAAAGGATAGCTCAAAGCATTAATAAGTAAATGCGGAGATCTCTGGGAGCTTAAAGAAATTCTGAACATACACAGGAAGTAGTAGGAAAGACTTCAAGCATGTAGTTAAAAGAATTATACTCCCTCCATCCCACTTTGATAGTTCTGTTTTCCTTTTTCGTCTGTCCCAAATTATTTTTCGTCTATCCCAAATTGTAGTCTGCTTTCCAATTTAAGAATGTAGTTGTATTTTAATTTTCCTAAAATGCCCTTATTCAATGTAAGTTATTGTTACTATAAACCTACCCCATTTAATGAGAGTTGATTCTTTTTTTACTATCAATTCAAATTCCCATAAAGTTGTACTCTATTTAATGTGAGAGTATTTTAGAAAAATAGCAATCTAAATTTACTTTTCCAACAAAATTAACTACTTTTTCTTAAACTGTGTGAAAAAAGAAACAGAACTATCAAAGTGAGACGGAGGGAATAATTACTGGGGTGAACTTTTCTCTCTCACTTTCTAGCCCCTTGTAGTTAGTTGCCCTACTGCGCATTCCAAAGGACAGCTCAAAGCATTAATAAGTAAATGCAGAGATCTCTGGGAGAGCTTAAAGAAATTCTGAACATACACAGGAAGTAGTAGGAAAGACTTCAAGCATGTAGTTAAAAGAATTATACTCCCTCCGTCCCACTTTGATAGTTCTGTTTTCATTTTTCGTCTGTCCCAAATTGTAGTCTGCTTTCCAATTGAAGAATGTAGTTGCATTTTAATTTTTCTAAAATGCCCTTATTCAATGTAAGTTATTGTTACTATAAACCTACCCCATTTAATGAGAGTTGATTCTTTTTTTACTATCAATTCAAATTCCCATAAAATTGTACTCTATTTAATGTGAGGGTATTTTAGAAAAATAGCAATCTAAATTTATTTTTCCAACAAAGTTAACTACTTTTTCTTAAACTGTGTGAAAAAAAAACAGCACTATCAAAGTGGGACGGAGGGAGTATTTGGTTCGAACACATCGAGTTGTGTGCATAGATGCATGTCATCGTTCATGCACCCAAAAAAATGTACTATAACTATGGTTACGTATGGATTAGATGTCTTTTTAGAGTGTTTTTCAAAAATTTTATCATAACAAAATATGTGAAAAACAACTAATGTAGATTATTTGTTTGAATTAAGTGTTTTTTCTAGATGTATTTTAGGATATTTTTTAAATTCGAATTTTAATGAAATATTTTTAAAAGTTTCACTACCCACCACCATCCCTACCTTCCTCCGGTGTTACCACCGACCTTTCGGTCCTCCTTCCATCTACAACCCTCTCTCCTCCCCTATCTGTGGTCACGCTAGTTGCAACTAGATATGATCGTGAGCAACACAACTAGAGAGCTCTTTGGTCCATCCTTCCCTCTCTCCCCTTACTCCTCCTCTCTGGTCACGTTTGGATTGTTTACGGCTAGCGCATTAGAGAGGAAGAGAGAGAAGAGAGGAAGGAGAGAGGGAGAGAAGAAGAAGAAGAAGAAGAAAAAAGATGAACGCCCGTGGTAGTGGCATGTGGAAGAAAAAATAAAGTTCAAGGTTCATTTTATTTTTATTTTTTAGTGAATTTGAGAGTGTGTTTTTGGATTTATTTTTGAAGTTTGTTACTATAAATTTCACAGAAAAAAGGTAGTCAGTGAGAATAACTCTCAATCCAAGATGAGCCTATATTAATCATCCTAGTTTAACTAGGAAGAGGAAAAGAAAACGGCTCATTCAATAGTATAAGAGGAAAGCAAAGAAGGATTGATTTTAAATATATTGTCGATGTATATACTAACTTCTATGGATGCATATCATTTAATCTTGATTTGAATTTAAACTTCAAATTTTAACGCGTGATATGCATCCATATTCTCTAGTATATACATCGTGACTCCGTCAATATATACAAAATTAATCCTATTTCGAATACTAATTTACCTGTAGCTCTTTCAAAGAGAAAAAAAATTCCTCAGGCTTGGGTTCTTAAATATTAAGGCTGCTAGTTTTCGTTCTGATGCAGGTGCCAAAGTCAGAAATTAGTTTCATCAGGAATTGGGATCGTTGGTAGTGCAGAAAAAAATAGTACCAGATGAGAGTGAGGGTACAAGGTTTTGTTTTGGAGGTGACAGGTGCTAAGTGGAATGTAAGGGTACGACAGCCAACAGGAAAGCTGCAGGGGGTGAGTAACGCAGTTTGATCAGGACAGTAGTTAGTGGGGGTTAATGGTGATTAAGACAGGCAAAGCAGGTAGTTAGTCTGGATTCATGACAGAGTAGAAGTTTGACAGAGACTCACAAGCATGATTGTGCTTTGGGAGAATGATGAAAGCTGAGGGCAAATTTGCTTCTCACCAACCCAACCCATCCAAAATTTGATGCCCACAAGAAAAAGATTTTACCGTCGTAGCTGTTTTTGGGACCATTAATAGAGCATCTTAGGCTTCTAAACCAGCTTTTCCTTCTTTTGGTTTCCGGATAAATCTGATTTGACAAAACAAATCACTGTAACAGGACAATAATTATGGTCTTAATTAATTATGGAACTAAAGGGGGGTGGGGGGGAAATGCTTACTTAGTTGTAGAAAGTTTGGCGTTGATTGATGCAACTTGACAAACAGGACACCCATTTCTGTATTTGTTTGTTCACCATATCGTGCATTCACAGTATGCATCACTTTGATGGCTTTCTTAATCCCGAAGCAAACAGTGATTGTGGACCAGCCTCAAACCATATCAACAACGACACAAGGCCATAATCTTCGAGGCCTCATCTAGTTTTCTCCTTTTTTTTTTTCCTTTTCTTTTCCTTAGTTTGAGATATCCTCGTAATCAAAGATAAGAAGATTGTACGACTGTGTTGTTTTGGCAACATCGATTTGCGTTTTTCGAATCAACATAAAAGCTCAAATTAATTAAAGCAGATTGCACTACGTACACAACAGAACGAGCAACATTTATCAGATGAAGAAGAAGATACCTCCTCCTATGTTTTTTATGGCAATCTCCATTCAGCTTGCAAATGCTCAAATGGTTTTACAATTGAAGAAGATACACAGACACAATTTGAATTAGGGCCAGAGAGCCCTGACAGATATGAAAGGAAACGACGCAATACTGATGCAGAGTAGTTCAGTTGCTTCACTTCTTCGCTTGGCCTTTCCAGGAAAATGCTGATTCGGGATTTCGAATAGAAAATTATCTCGTTTTTTGTAGTAGTCGAACAGCAAACGCGGTTCACGAATTGGATCTCATTTGTAACAGCGGACAATGCTGAGAAAGCCCTGGTGCAACTCAAGAGCGTCAACCTTCTTCGATCTTTCAGTTGTATCAACTAGTGACGACGTTCAGAGGAAAACCTTCTTGTGTTTTCTTTCTTGAGATCCCATAAAACCTTCTTGCTACTATACTAAAACTACATAATACGTTAGATATATATTTTTTTCTTTTAAAGGAAAAGAAAAAAAAAAAAAGAAGATTCACTTCTTTTCTTTTTCTCTCTAATTAAACACACAGTGAAAAAATCGTTTTCCACATTGAATATATACAACCTACATATGAAATGCACATTCACTGTGTGCAATATATGAATTTTCTTGTCTTACTTTTATTGTTTTTATTCAATTGTTACTGATTATATTCTATCAGTTAGTCTCTGTCATAATCATCCATGCGGCCACTAATGTCACGGTGGTGAGAGTGAAACTGATCGTGGACTTATGCGGTTGCCAACAATCGCATCTCATGATTAAGGATTCAATCTCGGCTAGCTCAAATTCGCCAGAACTAGGCTATCCAATTCAAATTAAACAAAAACCAAAAAATTTTGAATGAACGACCCAGATTTGATCAATTTGAGTTCGACCAATTAATTAGTGTTTACAATGGAAAGACCTGTGTTCAAACCTCAAAAAAAAAAAAAAAAAAAAAAAAAGTACTCCATTGGTCGGAAGAAAAAAGAGAGCAACATATTAAATGTACTCTCTCCGGCCATTAACATTGTCGCTTCTGTTTAAGTAAACAAATTTCCAAAGCTCGCCTTTTCTTTTTCTTTTGTTAAGGAGAGATTACAAAGCTTACAACAAGAGAATTCTTGAGTCGAACTAGAAACTTCACATATGTCTTATTAATATCTCTACCAAATCTTTTTTATGTGCTTTCTACTTGTTTTGAAAATTTCAATTTTTTGTATGATAATGCCCGATAAAAATTATCCAACGTTGAAATCTTTCACTATGAAATTTTAGTTTAGAGAAAGTTAATCTTGCATAATTTCTTTTGGGTAGGAAGGGAGATTGCAAACTTTACAAGAAACGGAAGAACAAGAAATGTTTAATGATTGGAACCTCACGTCATCTGAAAATTGTACCTATCACCTAAGTTGGATCTTGAGTTTTAACTCCCAGAGTTAAAACTAGCCCAACCCACAAAAAGAACAACAACATCCAACAAAGGAGAGCACCTTAATCCATGGTGCATTAAGGCCCATAGCTAAGAGTTTGTATCAATTCATTTGGGCCTAGTGCCTCACTCAACTTCCACTTTTATCCAAAGACAGATCTTGCACCTCGGGCTCAGGCCTTTGAGGGCAGCTCGCAGGCCAGCGGGCTGACTAAAGAAACAAATGACAGAATAGAAATTTCCATGTATTAGTCTGAGGGGAATCTCGCCCCTTTCCACTTGTTTCAAATGCAAGATCACAATTTTCCCGACACTTTCCTTCTTTTAAAAAGTAGTGATAGAAATGCAATTTCGCTCTGCTTTATATGTCAAAATAACAACAAAAAGAAAAAAGGAAATTGAGAGACGATGAATATTAGAATTTTGAGAAGAGGTGTGTACTCGAATCTTATTTATGGGTTAGTTTATTTTGTGGCCTAGGGATACATAGGGTGTGTTCTCAACTAATTCTGATTTTGTAAAATTGATTTTTGAAAAATAAGATTTTTAGAAATAATTTATATGTTATCGTTTATTGTTTAAAAAAAAAGCAATTTTAATAAATGCATAGGTGTTCTTAAAGAATGTTAAAAAGCTTATTTTGATAAGAAAATGACCACGTTGCTCCTTATATGCTACATAGATAAATTTTTTTGCTAATTAATTAATTTTTAATTAATTACTTTTCTTATAAAGATTAAATGGTGGATGAGAAAAATCAGAGTCGCATAGATGAATTTGGAAGTGAGACAAGAATAAGAAGAAAATAAAAAGACCATAAAAGGTTATATAATTTTTAGATAGTTTAGTAATTATACTGAAATTTGAAGGGTAATTCTGTCTACATAAAATAATAGGCCAGAATCAAGATCCAAAAGCACGTCACGGCTTGCTTCTTCTGATTTCAACTTTTTTGAGCCCAAAAATTCTAAAATCAATTTTTTAAAATTAGTTGAGAGTATAACAAAATAATTGTTCAAAAATAAAAAAGCAAAAATCAATTGAGAATAAAGCCATAGTAAAAAAATGGGATTGGTAGCGCTTTTTGAACAACGTATATTTTTCCCCTAAAAGTACATACAATTTAGGATGTCAATGGTTATTTAAGAGTTTTCATGGTAAGCCCTATCATCTTTTTGTGGTATCACTTGTCTCGTGTTTTTTTTAAGCGAACAAAACATAAAAAGTCTTTGTTTATTTTGGTTGTTGTTATATTGAGAGGACAAAACCAAAATAATTATTTAGGGATGATGCATCCAGAATACTTTTGATTTGCAGTGATTTGACGTCATGATAATATACTATTATGGCAGCCCATTTTTTTAATGTATTTCAATTGGACCTTTTTTTTTTTTTTTTTTTTTTTAAGTAAGTGAGAGGTTTGGAACTCCCTGTTCCGGTATGAATAACACCTAACTCATCCTTCCCCTATCGGAGGGAAGGGGTGGTGGCGGTGGAGAGGGGTGGTGGAATGTGATAGGTGTTATATATATAAATTCTAATAAAGTTTTAAATTTTAAAGACACCCTAATAAATAATTAGAGTGCAACTTTTTCCTAGACAATGCTACAACAAAATGTTTTGGAAAACAACTAAAAAATCACCTAATCCATAGGGAGCCATTAATCCATAGCCGCTTACTTCTAACTCTAGTTTGGGAAAAATGAGGAGGAAAAAGAGAAGATAAAAAGAAGAGCAAATTATCCATTTGGCCCTTGAACTTTTAGTTTAAGTAAAATTAAGTCCCTTAACTATTTTAGACAATTTTGAGCCCTCAAACTTGTAAAATTATGCACTCATAACCCTTTTGGCCAGTTTATCCGATTTTACAACTAAAAAGTCAATTTACACGAATGGCAGTAATCTGAGTGAGAGGGCATTTTTGTCCGCATATTCTAAGCAAAAAAGGAACTACTCCTCCGCAGCCTCCTGTTTTTCTCCTTCCTTCTAACGGGAACGGGTGAGCGATGCTACCACACCAGCAATCCACAACTACCATTTCAATAGGTCTGGGGATGAAGATGAAACTTCAGAGGAGGAGGACCACCCCCACCCCCACCTCCCCAAATGTAATAGCTATCCAGTTTTCCACTACACAAACCCATAACCGAAAAACTAACATTCTAACAACACACCCGACCAATCCCCCCGCCCCCTCCGGCCGGAGGCGGTGCTAATTTTGATTGTGATTTTCCAAAGAGTATAGAGTACTCTTTTACCGCTGCCCGCCTTTCCAATTTGTTCAATCATTCGATGATTTAGTACGCCTGCCTGTTAATTCCCACAACCAACTAACCCCACCACCGCCACCTGTTTCCGCAATCCGCTTCTAAATTCCCTTCAATCTGCTAGTTGTAATAGTAGGAGGGACTACAGTTGAGTAGCTGATTGAAATGTGGGAATGCAGCTGAATTTTGTTGATCCGGCTATTCTTGTTTCTCCTTTCCTGTTACTACAACTAGCAGTGGCAATCATTACCGCCGTCGACAAATGAAGCTGCCCATCATCGGGATCTCACTTCTGCTAGAAAGGTTCTCTGGCCATCACCACCAACTAGGTTAGGAAATGGGAAGGAGGAGAAGTTGTTCTCTTTTGCTTAGAATATATGTGGACAAAAATGCCCTCCCACTCAATTTATTGCCATTCGTGTGTTAATTGACTTTTCGGTTGCAAAATTGGATAAACTGGCCAAAAGGGTCACGGGTGCACAATTTTACAAGTTTAAGGACTAAAAGTTACCTAAAAATAGTTAAGGAGCTTAATTTTATTTAAACTAAAAGTTCAAGGGCCAAATGGATAATTTACCCTAAAAAGAAAGGGAAAAAGGATACCTGAATGGAACAACGAACAAGGATGTGTACTGAACAGTCCCAAGCGTAAAGGGTGCACGTGCCTCTCACTTAATACAATTACAAGCACAGCAGGGGGAGGTGACTGGGTGACGGTGGTTAACATAACAAGGCCAATTCGTTTGGAGGGGCACATGCCTCTGTCGTCCTTGCGTTGCTTGTTTGCTGTAGCTGCCCATAGGCGATGCCATGGATGCGCCACCCGTAAGAGATATTGGCTGCTGGAAGTAGGGTCCCTTGCCATGTGACAATTCTTGAATCGACTCTTCAAGTTTAATACTTTCCCCTTCTCTGCTTGTCAGCGTCCATATCTCTCTCCATCTGGGTTTTCAATGCCTCTCTTCTCTGCTTGTTAATTTGTATTATTATTTGGGGAAAATTTTGTCAATTATTTTCTAAACACAAAGTTTCAAGTTTCTTTCATTTTTTTAACTCATATAAATCATATCACAAAAATACTCCTTCCGTCCCATTGAAAGTGTTGTACTTTCTATTTTGGAATGTCTCGAAACAATTATCATGTCAGAAAAGTTAAAACACCCTTTTAGTCTCTTTTTCCAATATAACCCTTATTTCTAATCATATGCATGTTACTATTCAAATTTAAATTATGAATTTGTGGGGATAAAATTAGAAAGAGAAGCATAAACATTACAATCAAACTATTATTCTTAAAAAATTGGATTCCCCAAATATGACTGAATAAATGGTACGATGGGAATACTAATTAAAAAAAATCATGTAACTTAAATCCAAATGGAATCAGTTACTTAACAACTAAGAAGGGGTTAAGTTAGTGATTAAATGTCTCTTAAATTGGTCAAGATAGTAGAGTTGGTGTCATGTCTTTCTGACCACTCTGAATTCAAATCTCTCCTAAAACATCTGTCTATCACACATGGTCTGCTTAATGCGTCTTATTCCTTTGTGTGGTTGGCGAGTTTTCGTACGAAATTGAATTTATCTAGTATATACTCTCGAAGAGCGGCTGAGGATTCTCTTATCAACAACAAAAAAAAAAAAAAATTTCCAATTAACTGTTGCCGTGAATTGACTCGGACCAATTGGCAAAGAGTGATGCTAAGTGTATGGTTTTACAGGTAGGATAACTTCCTATTGCGGCGCTTCAAGCCACTTCTTTTTTTTTTTTTTTGCTTTTTTATGAGAATTCAAACACTTCACATGTAAGCATTTAAGGCTGAACTGTAGATGTCCAAGGAGATTGCTATCCACACATCCTCAAACAATAATCTGACAATTAATTAATTTTCTACAACCTGTCCAGCACTAGTAAATCAAGAAAACAAGAGTCCATCCTTTTCAAATTAGTAGTACAGTACTTCTTTGAAACACTACAACTTGTGAGTTTTCTTTTTTTTTTTTGTTGGACGTGGGGATCAGATACGGATCAGCGGCCTAACAAGTTTCTGTTCAAACCCGTTTATCTTTTTAAGCTGTAAATAGATACGATACGAGGCATGGAATTAAGCAGAGTATATAGGCAGAAAGTATAAGAAAGACCATTTTGTCCTCAACTAATACATCAGATAAGACGCAAAAAGGGCATTCAGCCACTGCTTTTTCGTTGCTTATTTATTTCTCGCCTGGTTTTTTGAGTGTTAAGCTGAAACTGAAGCCCACAGCTCTCCATCCTCCATTTGTTTTGGCTTCAGTATTTACTATTAACCGCTCTCATATTATCAGTTGGGTTAAAAAAGAAGAAGATCTTGGTGCTTCTAGTTTTGTTTCATCAGCCTGTTCGTCTTCTTTAAATCAATACCAGTTTGTAACAGATGGTACTAAAAATAAAACATCTTCTACTAACTCCAGGTAACACTCACAATATTCTATGACCCCTTTATGTAGCGTTCAATCTGCCCTCCTAAATATATACAAACTTTGCCATTTCAGTAACCCTTTCAACATAAAGTAAGTGCCAATCTGCCTACGAATTCAACCTGCAGTAAAAGGCAAGTACCCTTTTTTTGTTTTGGCATGTCAAAGTATGTATACTAACAAAATAAAGTTTTCCTTCTGAGATAGGATCAATCATCGTTTCAAGAATTAATTGTTGCAGATGTCTATTCTGTCGAAGAGGGTGACATTCCATACATGATAAACCTAAATGGTTTATATCCTTTTGGTAAAATTTCCTTTCTAACGGTAAAAGGTAAAAAGTAAAAACTGTTAGCAGGTGCAATTTGTATAATCAAGAGCTAGAATTGTATTCACTTAGCATAATTAGCTTTTACACACGAGTTTCAAGGCACAGAAGATGATTCACTAATAAATCTCTTAAATCTGTAACGGGCGGGCAACACTAGGACTCAAAAAAAGCGTTCAAATGTCAATGCCTAAAATTAACAAGATAATGGTAAGAGTTAATTCTCAATATCTCACCAAGAATCAAAAGGAGAATTCTTACTACTAAAACAAATTTGCAGTTTCATCGAATGAGAAGTTAGTCAAATCATCTTTCCCGTCGAGCAGCCAATTCTCCAACAACATAGAGAATGGAACTTGTGCCCCATCTTGGTCCGGTTTGCTTTCCCCTTGGAAAATGCTGGCCTCAGGAGAGGTGGATTGAGAAAATTCAGAGGTTGAAGACTCGAAAGACTCAAATCCAAAAAGGGACTCAAATGCTTCGGATAAATCTATTCCGCTTTTGCTCTCGGCACTAGGAGTCCCATCGCTGGAGGTACAATCCGTGGCGGCATTGCAGAACGATTGCTGAGTGCTGGAAGATTTTGATTGCTCAGATTTACGAGGTGAAGGATTTTTGACCCAACCCTTGAGCAATCTTGCTATATTCTCTGTACTTGATGCGTAAGTAGACGATCCTTGGCCAGGTTCTGTGTAAGACAGATGACCATCGCAGGGCTTGGAATCAGGCGCAGGGATAGATCCCTCCAATGACAAGGCATCGTGCAAGGCTTGTTTGGCGGTTTTGATATCAGTTTGGAGCCTTCTTTCCCACTGGCCTTTAGAAATGGAGTGGGAAGATGACAACGCGTTTCTTGGGGAGCTGCTGTCTGAGCCCGTTTGAAGCTTTTTAAGCTTCTTCTTCAAATGGGTGTTCCAGAAGTTCTTGATATCGTTGTCCGTTCTCTCAGGCAGGTAAGCAGCTATCGCAGCCCACCTGTACCCAAACCAAAACACCAGTTTCATATATACATTGAACCCAAACGCTCAACGACGTTATCATTATCGTCAGTAAAAACGAGAAGGGCTAGAAATTTAAGAAGCATACTTGTTCCCTAAAAGGGCTTGAAGCTGAATGATCATTTTCTCCTCCTGATCCGTGAAGTTACCCCTCTTGATCCCAGGCCTCAGATAGTTTGTCCATCTAAGCCTACAACTCTTGCTGCATCTACGTAAACCTGACGGGTCAAAATCATGTAGCAAACCAAACTCAGAAATCAGAATTCTGCATCCAAATATTTTAGAATTTGTAGTAAAAAAAAAAAAGAAAGAAAGAATATGTGAGATTAATGTAAGCAGAAGAGTTGAAGAAACCTGTGTTAGCAGGAACAGCCCTCCAGTTGCCAGGACCATGTTCTTGAACGTAAGTGACCAACATTATATCCTCCTCGGGAGTCCATGGACCTTTCTTAACTCCCACCTTATCACAGCAAGGAGGTCTACCCATCTCTCCCTCTCCCTCTCTCTATTCACCTTCCCTTTGTCTTGTAGTCTGTGATACCGTTTGATGATCTCTTTCTGAGATATCCCTCTCAGAAGCTATCCCTCGGTGCACCCTAAAACTTTGCTGGACTTGGGGCTGTGTTCTTCTCTATTTTGACAGCTATTTCTGCACCACTAGTCGTGATCCGTGCTTATTTTTCTCTTCTTGGGAAAAGCTGAGACAATTGTCCAACGCTAAGATTTATTGATCTGCAAAGCATATATAGAAAAAAAGGAAACCCCTCCGCCACCTCCTAACTATAAACGCTGACCTAAAAGAAGCAAAGGGTGTATTCAAAGAGTCAAAAGGTGACAGCAAGCAAGAGAAAGAGCATTTACTGCAATGGCCTATCTATCCATCCATCCATCTTAGCTAATGTGCTAAGGTCAGCAGCTGGGTGACTGTCTGTAGCTCCTCTTCTCTAATCTCTGCCTCACCAAAACCGCGTAGCATTCAATGTGCTGATTCATTATTGATGATCCATTACTGCAATTCACCTTGCTAATTATGGTTTCCATGCAATATTAACCAACTTCCTTAGTCACCTATTCGTATGAACTACGTACTACTGCTAATGAAAGTCGATTTCTAGCTAGTAATAGAATAGTTCTCCTACAAGTTTCAAAATCTTTTTTACGAGCAACTTTCTCAGATTTTTATCCCTTTTTTTGAGTAAAAAACATTAAATTGCTTTCATTAATAGGTGCAGAAAAGGTTGTACAAGAGAGTTATAACTAAAACTATACATTTAAAAAACTCTTTTACAATTTGTGCATCACGAATCATAATGATCAAATTGGTTGGTAAACTAGTAAAGTCGACGGTGATCGAGGATGATGATGATATCTATCCTAGTAAAAACAAGAAGATATGGTCATGATGGCGGTGGTGAAGATATATATATATATATATATAGATATACACACACACACACATTATACTGATTCTATGATACACACACCCACAGATATGTATATATATTTAAGTTGATTCGAGATGTTGCTGGCTGGGCTTGGGATGAAATGATTGTATGCTAGGGTATTGTAATGTATGTACGTATGTTCAGGGTTCATCACGAAACATCCTGAACTTTGAGGAGGATTGATCAAAGACATAAAGATGTTTGGGTCAGATGGAGGAGGGGCGACTCGTCGCCAAGTCAACCACAACCAATCAGATGACAGAATACGTTTCTGTCTAAAATATTTCGTTTCATCATGCCCCATGCATGTGGGCCAATTGAATGAGAATTCCCGTGTGGCGACCAAGTCCTCTGTTCATGTTTCATTAATCCTGCGGCTCATGGAAAAGGACCGATTACCCTTTGAGAAGGGATAATTTTTCAGAAACCTCCCTTTCAAGGTTTCTAACAGTTTCACTCCGATGCTGTAAAAATATCACTCATCTCCCCGGACAATTATGCGGGACTCAATACCTAGCTCGCTAATATTGAAATGATTCTACGAAGCTAACAACTTGGGCGGTTTTATGCAGAGAGAAACCATTATTATTTTATTTTTTCTTCTTTGGAAAACATTAGCCTAGCTGCGCTGATCCAACACGAGCAGATAGTCAATTATGAATAATAATAATAAGCGATTGATATCAATTGAAACTTTGGATACCAAACATGCTTTGGATGACTTTGCATCCCCGAAAGTTGGATCCAGGTAAATTCGATTTACTTTATAGGTATGAAGGTCCGTCCAATTCAAATGCTATTTAAGGTCTTGCCACTATACTGTTTTGTGATACAATTTTTTTTTTCTCTGGGTGTAGTTAAGATTTTGCCGGGAAAAGATGGCGGTATTTTTTTGTTACAATAAATGTCTTTTTTCTTAATATTAACGGGTCTGAACGTACGCATGTTATATGTGCAAAACCAAAACAATACAACAGAGTTATATTCAATTATTGAAGGATTATCTTGGAACCACTGCCTTCTTAATTGTGTAACACTACTTATTTTCAAGGAAAAAGAAGAACAATTCCATATTGATCTAGAAAGAAGAACACTTCCCTTGCATGATTTTGGATCATGACTAACTGCTTCAATTCCTAAAGTTCAAATACGTACTAGGTAATCATTGGGGTCGACTCGACGATCCGGTGGCCAAGGCTTTTGGAATCTTTTTTACCGTCAAGTTTAAAATTCGAATTTTATAAATGACAACTGCATGTGAAAAAATAATAATAATAAAAAAAATGTTGAACTACTAGGCTTTTTATTAAAAAGCCTCTTTCTTTGGCCTCTCGGAAAATGAATCGACAAACCATGGAAATCTAGGGTCCTCCCTATCGAAGGAAAACGCTTCTGTCTGACCTGTTCAACATTTTGTAATGAACTTATTGGGTTAATCAGGACCCAGGAGAGACTTCAGGCCCACATGCATGCAAACTCCAAAACTCCTTGAAATCTGAGGGGGATTAGCAGCCAGTATCATCCTTCTTTTATTGCTTTTACATTTTTTTCTTGGTGTGCTGTTAACATCTTTGAGCAGCATAATGATTAGTAAGAATTCCATAGTTGTGATGCAGTACTCCATTGCCTTGACTTGCTGAGATATTCAGCCCCGCTAAACTCCACGCAATCCAATGCTCCGTCGCCTTCTCTTTGAAAGAAATACAAGTAGTATTTTACTACTAGACTCGTAGTATTTCATTTCATTTCATTTCCTTTCCTTTCTTGAACGCATAGGTTTGTATGTCCCGCGTCACGTCAACCACCACCGAATGATTATGATGCTGCTACGCTTCTCCTGCACATGGCTCATGGCACCCGATAGAAATTGAAATTGGACTTCATCGAAAACTTTCCAAGTTGCGGCCTTCTGGCTGGCTAATCTATCTATGGGTGCGTTTGAATAGAAAATTATTTTAAAATATTATTTGATATAACATTGTAATATTTTCTATGATATAATATACATGAGATGAACCGGAAGGCTAAAAAAAATAAATTATAAGAAATGGTGAGAGGAGAGAAAACCCTCTTAGCATGTGTGCACATTAAATTGTGGTCCATGGAAGCCTATGATTAGGCATGGTGCCCCAAGGGGCTAATGGGACGAGGTGGGAGGGAATTTTTTCCCTCCATTTAGAAACGGGGCCGGGTATATCCCCCGCTTCGCCACCCGCTAAAATATATATAAATAAATATATATGTATATAATTATATATAATATTTAATTTAATTAGTTACAACTTATGATAATGATATTATTAGTTATATGTATTATATGATGTATATTAGTATATGTGATATAATTGATATTATCAATTATACTAATAATTATATATATCTACTAATAGAAATTTAATTAGTTATACTAAATTTACTAATACATTTATACTAAATTTCTAATTACACTTAATACAATAACACTTTTTTCTCAAAAAAAAAAAAAGCACAAGCACAATAATGAATTAATGATTGTATTTGTGCCAAAGTAAAAATTTGACTATTTTAGTTATATTTCATCATGTTGGATTGTATTCAAATAACTTTTGTTTGATTGTTTTTGTGAGTTACAATTGTGAAATTACAATGAATAATAACTTGGTGATGTGTTGATATTTTAGTACTTAATTATTTGTTAAAATTTAACTATAATAAAATTATATAACACATTTTTATTAACCCCGCGAGAGAAACGGAACGGGACGGGGAGGGGGGAATTAATAGGCAGCGGGGCGAGGGATGGAGAGGAGTCCTTTGCCCCAGTTGCCATCCCTACCCATGATGCGACTCATGACCTTTCAATGTTGCGCCGAATCATCGATCATGTGCTCTGAAACTGAAACCTACCCTTCAAGATGTGTTCTCTCTCAGAAGATATGTTGTTTACGGAAAAATTTTCTGGATAAGAAGGAAACCGAAACAGTTTCGTGCCACGATGTTCCACCAAAACCACATCTGGGATAGCTTTGAAAAAAAAATATATTGCACATCTTACAGCAACAATTGTCCGAGATTTAACGAGTGGGCTAGAATGTGCTTGAACATTTTGTAAACTTTTGTCAAGTGTCTTGTCTGAGGCCGAGTCACGGGCTTCCTCTCATGATATCTAATTGGGCTAGTAAACTTGTGGGGAAGACATAGAGCTACAAAACAAGATGGTCCATTTGTGTGTTTGTATCTTACAGGAACTGGGCCGGCCGAAATCAATAAATCCTTGAAACGCTCCCGGATGTCACCGCAAGTTCTAAATGATGAAAATGAGACACGCACCAGTACGACTAATAAGCGTAAATTAATAAGAACCGCCAAGATGTGAAGAGGGATTAGTTTTTGTTGAGTTGAGTTTATTCCACGTCGATTTGTAAAAGAGTCAGAGTGCTTGATTAAAATGGATGGAATCTAGAAGCGTGAAAATAAGACCACTCGGGTGCCCTTAACTTGGACTTTGACCTTTGTATTGTCTTCAGAAAGTCCACAACGTGACTTGCAATAAATGAATGTTTGGAAATATGTGTGCACCAATTTTATTTGTCTCCATTTCAATTTTCTACGATGACTAGTTCATAAAGGAGGACATGCAATGAAAGCCTTCTGTATAGTAAACTAAACTGTTGCCGTCGAGGAGTTTGCTTACAAGGAGGTCGGCGTCGGCTTATTAGATACTCCCACCAGTACCAGTAATTCTGATTTCTCGTTAATTTTGTCAGTAGTAGCACAAGATTTGCCGTCTTTTTTTAGTCTCAACGCTGTCGGTTTTAACTTTTAACTTTCCCACTCCTTTAAGCTACCAATACTAGGCGGCAAGTTCTTCGTCAATTTATTATCGTTTTGTTTTTGTTCTTGACTACGCGTGATGCGTGTCTGCTGCTGTAATCTTTTCTTCTTTTTGTTTTTTTTTTTGGAAAATAGTAGCGTAGCTTCTCCTTTAGTCTGCTGGTATTACCGTAACACGGCTTTAACCGAAAAAAAAGAACACGATATTATAAGAAACGCGCAAATGTGGGTCGACAATCACATATGATATGGGAATTATCAGTTTCTGGGTTTTTTCTCCTCACATAAACTGCCTGCCTACTGCCTAGTGCCTACCAACTGATCATCTATCTTAGAGTTAGAGCTGGCAAAAAAGTCCAAAACTTAACAACCCGTCCATTAATTTTAAAGGATGGGTTGGGTCAATTGGATTATGAATTTTATTGGATTGGGTAAGAACAATCCAACTTATTCATTGGCGCAGGTTGGATTTTTTATTTGAGTACCCAATACCCAACTTGTTTAAAAGTAATTCAAAATAATAAATACAAGATTCAATACACATGTGCCCAACTATTTGCATTTAGACATGTGTTAATAATTCATTGATTAATTTGTATTCAAAATTCTCATATATATATTTTCAATCAATTTTTTTAATTTTTATTTAAAAGAAAAAAAACTTGAAATAAAAATTCATGCTTATTTTACTCTTATAATAATAGTTAAACTTGCTCAACTTCTATAATAATTTATTATGCCTTTTAAGACTATGTTATTTTCCTCCCCTTTTTTTCCTTTTTTTTTTTTTTAGTTGTTCTCAAGTTGCTACTTGCTTTTGTTTGTTAATATTTCGTGTACATAAAATAGAGTTTTAAATTTATTCTAATTGCATTATTTTTAATATTTCGTGATTGCTTTTGTTTGTTAATATT